TGAGCTTCGCGGGAGAGGAAGTGCTCGACATCTTCAACAACTTTTAGCACGGGCCCGGAGAAAGCAAGGAATCTTACGACACAGTCGTGCGGAAGTTCGACGCCTACTTCTCCGAGGTGAGCAATGAAATTCACGAAAAATATGTTTTTCGTACACGAAGCCAGGCGGAGAAAGAACCTTTTGAGAAGTTTGTGCGGCACTTAAAGAAGCAGGCAACACAGTGCAACTTTGGGAATCAGCACGATTCACTGATTAGAGACCAAATTGTGTTTGGCACGAACGACCCAAAGCTGCGTGAAAGAATGCTTGCCGAGAGAGGCCTGACGCTACTAAAAGCCGAGGAAATGTGTAAAGCGGCAGAAGCAGCGGCACTAAGGAGCCTAGTTTGGAATAGGACAGAAGACAGCATTGACGCAGTTTCAAGTGGCGAAACGGTGACGAAAAAACGGCAGCAGCGGAAAAAAAAAGCAGAGTCGCGATAATCAAGATATTTGCTGCAGGAAGTGCAACCGCAAACATAAACCTAAGCAATGCCCCGCGTATGGTAAATTATGTCATTCTTGCCGCAAATACAACCACTTTGCAAGTTGTTGCCAGAAGTCTACCGCTGTTAGCGAAGTAGCTAATCTCATTGAGAATGACTTTGAGATTCTTGAAATCGGCTCCGAAAATTGTCGCAAGAAAGACTGGACAATCAAGGCTCGAGTAAATGGCAGAGAAGTGACGTTCAAAGTGGACACCGGTTCGCAGGCAAGCTTACTTCCATTTACAACGTACCGGAAGCTTGGATCCAAAGAAGCGTTGCAACCTACCGGGTCAGTGTTGCGCGCCTACAACGGGGGCGTTATTTCAAGCTATGGAACAACGTCACAGAAAGTGTCTGTCGGAACCACCGAGATAAGCGTGAAATTCTTCATCGTAAAGAATGGGCGCCAAGCCATCCTTGGGCTCGATGCCAGTGGAGCGCTTGGATTGGTTCGACGTACAGTGGACGCTGTCAATGCCTCGTCTGAGTATGAACTTTTGAAAGATTTCAGGCACCTGTTCCAAGGGCTCGGCTGCTTGAAAACGCAGTACAGAATGGTCCTGTATCCAGACGCGGTTCCGGTCGTTCAGCCTGCTCGCCGGGTTCCACTTGCACTTCAGGAACCTCTGAAGAAGGAACTACAGCGAATAATCCAGGGGGGCATCATCGTCAAAGAAAATGAGCCAACCGACTGGGTAAGCCCTCTGGTACTGGTAAAAAAAAAAGACGGTGCTCTAAGGGTTTGCATGGACCCCAGAAGAGTGAACAAGTATATCAAGAGGCAGCATTTCCCTTTACCCAGACGCGAGGACTTGGAAGCACGGCTAACCGGTGCTACTTATTTTAGCTGTTTGGATGCAAACGCCGGCTTTCATCAGGTGCCCTTAGACAAGACAACATCAAAAATCTGTACGTTCTCGTCGCCTTTTTCCAGATACCGTTTTCTAAGGCTACCCTTTGGCATCTCATCTGCACCCGAGGTGTTTCAGCAGGCACTTTGTCAGATATTTGACGGTCTGCCAGGCGTGCTCATATATATAGATGATATCCTGGTCTGGGGCTCAACGAAGGAAGACCATGATGAGCGCATGGTTGCAGTCCTTAAAACTGCTGAAACAGCTGGATTAACATTTAATCTGCACAAGTGCAAGTTTGGCGTAAAAGAGCTACAGTTTCTGGGTGATATTATAAGTGCGAACGGCATATCCTCAAATCCAGGGCTCGTAAAAAGTTTGGTTCAAATGCCAGTGCCAACATGCAAAGCCGATGTTCAACGTATGCTGGGTGTGTTGAACTACTTTGGAAAGAAAGTTCGTGCCGCGGCTATCTGAAAGAACGGCCCTGTTAAGAACTCTTATCAAGGCCAGTTCTGAGTTTGAGGGGACAGATAACCACGCCAAAGAGTGGAAAAGCGTCACGCAAATTCTGACTACCGCTCCCGTGCTCGCAATATTTGACCCACGACGGGAAACAAGGTTATCTTGCGATGCATCGAAGGACGGCGTTGGTGCCGCCCTTCTGCAACGTTACAGTAACGAGTGGCGGCCCGTAGCTTACGCATCTCGAGTACTGACTAAGGCAGAAAAACTGTACGCACAGATAGAAAAGGAGGCCCTAGGAATTTGCTTTGGATGCGAAAAATTTCACCAGTTCGTCTATGGCCAGAAAGTCCCAACTGAAACGGACCACAAGCCACTCTTGTCAGTTGCTCAAAAGGAAATTAGTGACATGCCACCTCGCCTTCAACGGTTCTTTTTGAGGTTGTTCAAGTATGATTTTGTTTTGCAGTATATTCCTGGGAAGCACCTTGTTCTTGCTGACATGTTGTCCCGGTCAACTGCTGACAACCAAGACGACGCTGGTGCTACTACCGACGTGGAAGTTCATGTAATCCAGCTTCTAGGTTACCGTGTCACAGAAGCAACGCAGAAAGAACTGCAAGCGGCAACGGCTCGTGACCGCTACCTACAGTCGGTGATCGCAAGTTTGTCGGCGGGGCTTCCAGTACAAGGAGAACTAAAGCCTTTTGAGCAAGAACTCTCATTTGTCAACGGAATACTTTTAAAGGCGTCGAAGGTTGTTATTCGGAAAAGCATGCGAAAAACTATGCTTGAAAAAATCCATGCAGGTCACCTCGGCATGCAAAAATGCAAGGAAAGGGCCAGACGCCTCGTGTTTTGGCCGGGGCTTAACGCTGAGATTGCTTCCATGGTGCAACTTTGTCCTACATGCTGCAAGTATGCTTACAAACAGCCCAAGGAACTGCTTCAAATGCGGCCCGTGCCAGGTTGTGCATGGCATAGAGTTGAAGCTGATATTTTTTCGTTTGCGGGGGACTCGTACATCGTTGTCTTTGACGCCTTATCAAACTTTCCGGAAGTTCAGAAACTACCTGACATGTCGGTGCAATCAACCAGCGCAGAATTGAGCGCTATTTTTGCCAGATTTGGCGTGCCCGTCGAAGTATGCACTGATAACGGCCCACAATTTTCCAGCCATGAATTTTTTTTGTTTTCAAGGAGATACGACTTCACGCACGTCACTTCAAGCCCTCATTATCCGCAGTCAAACGGGCTTGCGGAAAAAGGTGTGCAGGTTGTGAAGCGCATCTTAAAAAAAAACTGCAGATTCGGGCGACGACTTCTGGCTGGGCCTGCTGGCCTACTGCTCTACCCCACTGGAGGACGGGCGATCCCCTGGTGAACTACTGCAAGGAAGGCACCTTCGCGCCAACCTCCCGGACTTCAGTACGGTGACCGCAACCGACGTCAAAAAGCACAGCCAGGCCCTAGGGGGAAGACCTTTTCCTCCTCTGCAAAAGGGTGACGTCGTGAGGCTCAGAGACGCTGCATGGTCCCGGAAAGCTCAAGTGGTGGGTCCGCCATATCCAAGGTCCTACCTTGTCAAAACGGAAGACCAGAAGCTGTTAAGGTGCAATTGTCGTCACCTACTTCAAACTGGCGAACGGTTCATCAAGGAAAGCGACGACGACATTGATACCAGCTCAGCGGACAACAACGTTGGTGGCCATCTGACAGTGGCAACTTCAACCTCGCCAGCCAATGGCCGACGTCGCGAAGTTCCGACGTCGGGCGACCCTTCGCCACCTGTGGTGCGTCAGTCAACATCACCACCGACGCCAGCTTTGAGAAGGTCGACTCGAACCGTGAAGCCACCACAGCGTCTTCATTATGACAAGGACTTTGACCGAGTGTATGTTATCATTTTTTGAAATGCCATGTACATGCCACCGTTTCGGTGGGTATGTAATTTCATTGTTAACGGAAAGGATGTATCCGGCAAGGCTATTGCATCACGACTGCGCATCGGACATGCGCAGATACTCACGGCGCGCTATCGTGCGCCTATATAATCAGTGACTGAATAAACCGATATCACTTCTTGTTCTGGCCATCATGCTGTATCGTCGTCCTTGCTAGTTACATCTTGTGCTTCTTCTTGTGAAGGGGGAAGGAATGTTATGTTGCTGCCATCAGCCTAAGCAGTTTCACATAGCGCCACAGGATGGCGTCTTTTATCACTCCTTTAAATATTAAAATAAACGTGCTGCTGGCCGCATAAGTCAGTCGCCATTTGAACTGAGCCTCGTCTGTGTGCTGCCTCATGAGAACATGGCACTATCCTAAAGGCAAATTTTGCCAATATCAATTGGTCAGATGTGGCCGCGTGTACTGGACAATCAAAAATCCAGTGGCCTCGAAATTATGTTCCCATTTATGTCGCGTGTATGTGCCCTACTGAATGGTATTTGATTGTTGATCTATTCCTGTATTGACTCTCTTAGGATCAATAGTATTAATAAACAAACAAGCAAATAACAAAAACATTTTAAGACTTCAATTCTGGATGTAGTCAGGAGTCCTTAAATTTTTTAACCAATTTTTTAAAAGATTTTTTTACCCCAAAATGTTTATTTTTTGAAACATGGTATATCTTTTACTTCTATAAAGATGTCTTGATTAATGAAAAATTCAAGCATATATTAACTCATATCAGCACAACAAAGTTTATTTTCCCATGGTCTATTAAGCTCTTTCGGGATGCGTAAAATAAAGTCATTGTCAGAAAACTGGTGAATATAACACGGCAAGTCATCTATATTAACTTTGGTATCTGACTAATTAGCGTATGGAGAGCTGTACGATAAATAAAGCCATTTTTTTCTTGACGATGCATGAGCAACACACACGTTGCCTACACTGGACAGCATTTTCTATACAAAATTCACAAAAAATGCGCATAGAAGGCCAAAACAAAATACTTTTTCAAGCAAATGCTGCCATTTGTGAAGCGACGCACAAACTAGCCTGAAAATGAGCGGGTTTGTTCAAAGTGCTTCTGGGGAGGTACTATCTCAAGTGGGCAAGCCATACTCATCCAAAACAGTTAGAGCACAGTGCGGCAAGGGCAATCTGTGCTTGTCCTTCCAAAGTGCTATTGGGGTTGAACTCACTTGGTTGCAGTACGCAAGTGAGGGTTACGGTAGTGGTGACTGCTGCCGCCACCATTGAGCACAAAGGCATACTTGGTATCGTGGCCGTGTGCCTTGAAACAGGCGTCTACGGCATCCACCAGCTTCTGAGTGCCAGCGAGCACAGCAGTGGTAACCTGGGGGTCGAACGAGCTTTCGGCCAACAGCACAACCACCTCGAGCTGAGGCCTCGAATTAACGCGGAAGCTCTTGTGGCCTTGCGCTTCTGGTAAGTTCAGGCAGTGGTCTGCACACAAAGTACGTAATGAGATCACATGAGATTTCATTCATATCAACATATAATCCTTCCACAATGAGTGACGATGAGATACTCCGTAAGCGAGCAAATTCCCGGTAAAAAAATATATGTGCCAAAACTGCCCCTCCATACCAGCACCAACTCATCGTGATGCCATGTGGTTTTTACAACTCATGTTAGAGCCGACATAATTATTTATCAATAAAAATGCATTATATTGTGTCCAAAAGGAGCCGGAGATTTAACATGGCAAGCTGTAGAAAAAATCTGGTTGAGTCAAGGTGCCTAAAATATGAGAGAAGAGATGGACATCCACGACATCACAATGGCATACAAGTGCTGACATTGAAATGAAGAGAATTTCTCCAAAAGTGCTCATTTCTTTTCAATGCAAAATCAAATGAGTTAGACAGACAATTAGGCCAGACAATGCAATGAAGCCATTAGTTCTTGTCTTTCTAAATGTGTACTAATAATGTTGCAAATTGAAATGTATTAAAGTGCCCATTTGTTTGGTGGAATCACCAGAGAGCACATTTGTTTAAGTCATTTCACTGTTTCAAAATGCTACTCAGCTTCAATTGAAGTGAATCAGAAATATGAACAATTTTTCATACAGGGTTGACAATAATCCTGAAGACTCTCTTCTGTTGTAATCCTGATAGCTGCATGTGTCGCTGTGAAAAGACAAGAGAGGAACGATAAACACAGACAATGAAGAATACACAATGAAGTCTGTCCTCGCGTCTTCTTCATCGTCTGTGTTTATCTTTCCTTCATAGTAATTCTCTTCCATGTATAATAGCATGAAGCCGCAGCGATGCTCACTCATGTGCCACAAATAGTAGCATACAGTGGCTTACATAACTTCATCAGCAAAATAAAGACTGCGTAAGCATTTTATGGAAGCTTAAGTAGGTTTCACCATTGGAACAAGATTACTGTATTTACTCAAGTGTAACGTGAGTGCAATATCAATATGAAAAACAACTTTCCAAGAAGAAAACAAAAATAAAAATTAGGGGACCCTAAAGCTTTGCCTTTGGGAGTCGAACGCGATATTGACATCCGGTTCCTAGTGCATACTTCAAACACTTACTGCATGAAACATTTTCGAATCGGCTATGCACCCACTTTGTGACCTCAAGGAAATAGGCGCAGTAGCCTGTGCGCCTTTTGTAGTGGGGTACCAGCTTTCAACTATGGAGCCATTATTGTAATCACATAGTCTGACGCCCATTGGCAATAGATGCTTGTACCACGCTTTATTACTGCAATATTTCATGTTGAATTGCAAAGCATGTATACAGGACGAGTGTGTTTGTGAAGCACAAAAGGTACTTTCACTGCTTTCACCGCTTTGTGTGACGTTCCAGCTTCATTCCCTTTTTCGATCGTATATAATAAGCTACTGCACCTTAGTATGGGCTGCAACCACAAAACGGAATATTCATAGGTTATTGCTGCTTGAAAAGAAAGCTATTTGCTGCATCAATAATGTTAATTATTTAAATACGACAAAAGCACTGTTTCAAGAAAACAGGATAATTACTGTCAAAGATATTTACACACACTGCCTCCTATCCTATTTCAACTGTATTTTGCTGGTAAAAAAACTGCGCACCTTCTAAAGAATTTGTCAGCCCTGGTAGAACGACACAGCACCCGCGTGGCACAAGCACCCAAAAGGTGGTTCATAAAGGGTCATCGAACAAACTACTACAATCAAACCCTGGGCTACAATGTATTCATGCAAAGTTTTCTTTTTTCAGTGAAACTCTACCAACTATGCTGAAAAATAACCCTAGACAGTTTTGGAATTTCGTGCATGGTAGCGAGAATCGCGCTATAGCCTTTCTGACGGCTGATGGGCATCCCGTGCCGGCGTAAATTACACGTCCATACTAAACGACACATTCATAAAAGCTTTCTCACACCAGGTGACCATCAACAACCAAATCACTTTGCCTTCACCACACTACCTACCCATGGACGCTATTTTGTTACCTCCGATAGTATTCGTGTAACAATTAAAAAACTTAAAACCTCGTCATCATGTGGAGATGATAGAATCAATTCTAAATTCCTTAAAAACACCGTTGAATACTGCTCTATTATCTTGTCATGCATTTTTTCACAGTCCTTGTAGCACTCTAGCCGTCCGGAAGACTGGCTGGTTGGTAAGATAGTGCCAGTTCACAAATCAGGGGTGACACTTAATCCATTAAACTTCCCTCCAATATCGCTCACATGTGTCCCGTGCAAAATACTTGAGCATATCATTTTCACTCACCTAGTTAACTTTCTCGAGTCTAACCAGTTTTTCACACCCTCCCAGCATGGCTTCCGTAAAAACTTCTCCTGTGACACGCAGCTCTTAGTCTTTACTAACGACCTGCATGTCCTGCTCGACTCTGGATTTATCATTGACTGTATTTTTTTAGACTATTCGAAGGTGTTTGACAAGGTTAGTCATGAGCTACTACTTCTTAAGCTGAAACATTTAAATCGAGATCTTAACGTGCTTAACTGGATTCAAGCCTTTCTTTCCAACCGAACACAATTTGTTTCTGTTAACAATGTTTGCTCCCCCGTCCAACCGGTGCTCTCGGGCGTTCCCCAAGGCTCTGTGTTGGAACCTTTGTTGTTCATAATTTTCATGAATGACTTGCCAACTAACATCTCATCAAACGTATGCCTATTCACTGATGATTGCATACTTTATAGAAAAATAAGCAACGAAGACGATGTTACCTCGCTTCAGGCGGATCTAAATAACATATTTATCTGGTGCCAATTATGGAACATGGAACTGAACATTTCTAAATGCAAAGCGATGCGTGTGTGCCGCACTTCACTTGTTTGTCCACAGTATCATCTTAACGATACCTACCTCGAGGCTGTTTCATCTTACAAATATCTAGGTGTTCATATTTCAAATAACCTGACTTGGAACCATCATCTGAAGTACATCATTGTCAAAGCTAACCGTAAACTCGGGTATTTTCGCAAAAACTTCTACATGGCACCTTCATCCTTTAAGAAGCTTCATTACAGTACTTACATTCGTCCATCGCTTGAATACGCATCATTCATCTGGGATCCTGGTGGCACTACACTAACACATGAATTGGAAGCAGTCCAGAATCGTTCAGTTCGCTTTATCTTGTCCAATTATTCCCGTACGGCCAGTGTTACACTAATGAAATCTCAGCTCAACCTTCCTGAACTCGCCATTCGGCGTAAAATAGCCCGGCTAAGTCTCTTTCATAAGCTTTATTATCATAACAATAGCCTTCGTGAACATAACCGTTAAACCCCCCTCATTCATATCACCCAGAATCGATCATCCACAAAAAGTTCATGTTCCTCAATGCAGAACCACAACCCATTTGCACGCTTTCATTCCAAGAACTACATCTCAATGGAATCTACTCCCTCGATCAGCTACCGCAATCACCGTCACATCATGTCTTAAGGTTTTTTTACGAAACATGTTTGGCGCTACTTGATTCCTGCTTTGTGTTATATATATGTATGTATATGTGTATGTGTGTGTGTGTGTGTGTGTGTGTGTGTGTGTGTGTGTGTGTGTGTGTGTGTGTGTGTGTGTGTATATATGTGTGTGTGTGTGTGTGTGTATCATGTCCTCTTTGTTTTTTTTGTTTTTGAGATTGTTTGTTGTTCTTTGCTTAGTGCTTGAACATGTACCACCTGCACTATCGCTACTGCTACGTTGTCTTTGTTGACGTAGTTTATATATAATGTAGTTCTGTATTATTCTGCCAATTATTGAAATTTTGTTCTTGTATATATTTATCAAGTGTTGTTTTTCCCATTTTTTACATGTAACATGCCCTTACCCTCTGTAATGTGAAAACCTTGAGGGTATAATAAATAAATAAATAAATAAATAAATAAATAAATACAAACAGTTAAATCTATTACAGAAGTGTGTAAATACAGAAATGTCATTATCACACAAGCACTTGCTTGATGCCTTTCTCTATGATAAATTTCAAATTTATGCCTGAAGCATACAAATCTACTTTGTATCTATCTCTCATTTTTACAATGTATTCATCACATACAAGCTTTTTTTCTTTATTTTTACTATTGCTTTTCTTCATATCTATTTTTGCATTGTAAATGAGCAATACCTTCTTGGCGGTCACATTATTAACCGTTTACACATACTTTAACCTATTCACAGTGTGCCCACATGTATTTATATGTATTTACAGCAACCAAAAGCATTGCTTGTACTGCACATGTGTGCACTGCTGCTGTTGCCCGGTTTTGGCCCCCTAGCCTCGTCAAGCTGTATGCTTACAGCTTTCTTGCTAGGGTGGCCTTTAACATGTACTTCTTACATGTCGTAAATAAAATTTTACTTTACTTTACGTCTCGATGTTTCAGTCACACATAAGATGATGATTTTTCACTCACAACCAACGACGCCGATGCCGGAATTTCTGCGAAATGAGCTCTTTAACGCCATCACGTTAATAATAAAAATAAGAGAAATCTGTTCCTCATAGCACTTTCTCGAGAATTTGAATTTCAGTATTCGATTGTAAAGTGAGGGTAGACTTTAGGTAGCGAAAATGTGGAAAGAAACACTCGCTGCATTAGAGTAGCCCCCATTTGTCAGTTTCATTTCCTGAAGAGTACCCGCCCATTGACCTGCATTCTTAGTGATTTAGGTGAAAATTATTCGTGCTACTTTAATACCTCAATACCCTCGCCTTGGAAGTGTCAGGTCTTGCTCTTAATACAGAGGCACTGAAGTGTCTCCGCCGTCAATTGGCAACACTGTTTTTCCTTTTGAGTCAGCATAGTTCTCATTTCAAGGCATCAATAAGTGCATTTCTTGCCTAAGCTACACCAAGTTCCTGACACCATGTTCACCAGCCTATTCTCACAAGAGAGCTTCAAAGGAGCATTGACATCAAATTTCAGAATTGAGATGTGCCCTTGATTTGATT